CAGTTGGCTTGTGGGACAGTGTTTGAAAGACAAGGAAATTAATGGAAGAGAGAAGTCTAATAAAGTATCCGAGATACAGCCTTCTTTGGTCCATTAAAAAGAGGGTGCCTCTTTTGCAGCCAAAAGCACTTCTCTAGATATGGTATGACGAGAGGGGATTGGTGTGAATTTGGGTTGCATGACATTACAAAATCTTCTAAACCTAACTCCCTCCACAAATCTAAATAACAACTCATCAATGACAACCATCTCCGCAAGAGACCTTTTATAAGCATCAAAATTAAACGTTGTTGCTACAACCTCAACATCATCTTCATTTTGTTTCGGTTTAAGATTTAATGTTTGTTGACCATCTTTATCCCTATTTGGATATTCTTTACAATTGGGTGTATGACTCCTCAAATTGCTAGTCCCATGAAGTCTAGAGTCAGCCAAATACACTTTCTTGCAATATTTTAATATGGCTCTACGCTTCCCATCGGTCCCAAAAACCTTATCAAAATGATCCCAAACTGTAGATGGTGCTCTTCCCCCTCCACCCTCACTCTTTCTCTTTGGGGGTCTCGGAGGCTTAGGTTCAGGTTCAAGTTCGGCTAAAGGGGGATTCATTTGAGAATTAGAGGATTCTGGAGGTAAAAGATTCACGGCGGGAGATTCAATAGTATCCTCCATTCAAACTGTACTACAAATTCAATTCAAATTCAAAAAAAAATTAAGATTTAATTTCATTTAGATTCAATTCAGATTAAAAAAAAAAAATCAGATTCAATTTCAAAAATTCAAATTCAATTTAGATTCATCATCCCTTGCAATTTAAATTGAAATTTAGATTCAATCCAAATTCATCATCCCTTACAATTTAAATTCAGATTCAATTCAAATTCATCATCCCTTGCAATTTAATTTAATTCAATTCAATTCAATTCAAATTCAGATTCATTATCATCCATTGCAATTTAAACAGATTCAAATTACAAAGATTAAAAAAAATAAAACATATTCAATTTCAATTTCATTCTGTTTAATTCAGATTCAAATTACAAAGATTACAAAGATCAAATTAAACAAATTTTTAGATTCAAAAGTAAACAGATTACAAAGATTCAAATTAAATAGATTCAAAAGTAACAAAGTAAGTAAATTAAACAAAAACGAGAGAGTGAGACAAATATAAACAGATTCAGATTACAAAGATCAGATCAGATTAACCCACCTACCAGATTCAGATTACAAAGATCAAACTCCCCAAAAAAATTAAACAAAAACAAAAACACAGACAAATCTAAACAGATTCAATTTCAAAAACTTCAAACAATATCAAACAAAAGCGAGTAAGACAAATCTGGGAGGGAGAGAGACAGACAGAAAAAGAGAGATAGAGACAAAGAGTGACAGAGAGAGACAGAGACAGAGATACAAATCAAAGATCGGGGAGAAAGAGTGAGACAGAGAGAGCCTTACCTTAGAGTTGTCAGAGAGAGAGAGTCGATTGCGAAGGTCGATTTTCGCGTGCGAGCTGTGCAGATGAAAAACAAGAGAGGATGAGACAAATTTGATTGCCTAAAAAAAAACACAAATCAAGAAGAGAGAGCAAGATAGAAACAGAGATATAAATCACAGATCGTTAAGAGAGAACGAGACAGAGAGAGCCTTATCTCAGAGTTCCTGGAGAGAGAGAGAGAGAGAGAGAGAGAGAGTCGATTGCGAAAGTCGATCGTTACGTGCGAGCTGCGCAAATGAAAAACGAGAGAGAGATGAAAAGATGAAGAGAGCTCTCTTTCAGTCTCAGTGAGTCAGTGAAATAAGAGAGAGTGAGATTTAGGTTTTGTTCTCAATTGGTTTTGTTTGGGTTGGGGCAAAAAGTATCATCTATGGATGGAATAGATGAACGGTTCAGCTTTTTTCCAAAAAAAAAAAGAAAAAAAAAAAAGTACGGGCGGTTGTAACGGGTGTGAGTCAAACTCGGGTCAAACCCACAACCCGAAAAATTGAAATATTTCAAATCGCACTCTACCCTATTGTATTTGCGAAACCGCCCATATATATGCGGGTTGGGTCGGGTAGGGCGGGTCAGATAACCCTATGCCCACGCCTACTGAATACAATACACTTAATCCCTTTCTTTTATTCCATGTACACGTGCACACACACACACACACACACTTCAATACAACAAATTAGAAGGCTTTACACACTTCTTCTCAATTAACTAAATGAATAGAATTACCTTTATTACTAATTCATGTATTAACTTAATTAAACTCTACTTATTTTTGACTAATTAATCTTAATTAATCTTAAATTCCGTATAATTTAATCAGTCTAATTTTTACTTCCATTACAACCCAATTAATTATATTTAATTTTATCATTCTAAATCAGATTTTTAATCAAACTCCCAAAAGGTTCCAAATCTTAAATTAAACTTATTTCCATCATCAATTTTAGCTCCTCACATTATTAAGGCCTTCAATTTCAGATTAACTCAAAATTTCTATCAATAAATTAAATATTCAATTGAACACCTCATAAATAAATTTAATTCATAATAACCTTAATTCCCAATCTTCATAACTTAATTAACTCCAATTTGGACGCAATTAACCAAATCTCAATTTTATAAATCTGAATCGAATATTTAATTAAACTCTTGCATGGTCCGATACTCGAAATTAAAATAATTCAATTCACCATTTGTACTCTCTTGAACCATTTAGGTTTTCAATTTCTAATTCCAAAATAAATCCTCAATAGAGTTATATACGAATCAGTCTCCATAATTTCATAAATGTCAGATTAAATTAGAATAATTGACAATTAAAATTTAAATCTCTTTAATTAAGTGAGTACTAATCATTGTACATGGTGGGGTCGTCATACTTGTTGTCTTTATCTTGATTATTTGTCCTATTGCACCTTTCATTTTGTTATCCCTATAGTATGATTTTATTTATTTATTTATTTATATATTCATCTACTTAATATAAACAAGATATAATAAAAGATCAGTGTTTACTTAGAAAAATAATTTTAGATGGATAGTAAATTTTATTAACTTTAATAAATAATGTTAGTATGTAATAATTTCAAGAAAATAGAATTGTATTGTGATTTTCCAAATAACGGTGCATATTATACTATTTGGTGATTCTACTTATACCACTATTTAATCTCTTTATACCCTCTATCTCATTACAATGCTAAAAAAATATAATTCTCATTACGCTCCCAATATATTATCAAAACTAACCCTAAATTAACTATTTCATCTCTTTATACCACTAATTTTGGTAACACGGTGCTAAATAATTTATATTATTCCAGTGTTATGCTGCCGAAAAAAATAGATCTCTCTAACATCTTATTACTATACATTTATAGAGTCACTTTCTTCCAAACAATGATTTTTTAATTTGTGGTGGGTCTATTTGGTAATACAACGCTAATTAATTTGAATTACTCCAATGCCATATTACCGGACAATATTTTTTTCCCAGCATTATGTTGCCGTCCAATTAGATGATAACAAGAAATTAATTTGGACCACTTGTGAAGTGTCTGTTCAGTGCATTGTTATACAAATGAGATTACTCTAGTGTTATGTTGCCAAACTACAATAGAGTTGTCTACGCCCCCATCGCTATACATTGAAAGATTTATTTTTTCCTTGAAGCATCTATAAAAAAATTCATAAATCAAACACGCATTCATAAAAATCATATAAAAAAAGTATCCATAAAATTATTCATAAAAATATCAAGTGCACAAATATCCATAAAATCTGTCACTGTTTACATCTATCAATCAAACATGTTATCACAATTCGTCTTGATAATTTGTAGGTAATTTTTCCCTTTAATAAAAATAAACATCCACACTTTTTAGAACCTGTCAAGCTCAATCGTTCCCCCTTAATCTTCTTGTTGTCTCTATAGTATCCACTTCTTTCATAAGCAAGTATAAGTCTTGGTTTTCTGCCATTGCCTTCTGCATCTAATGTTTTTATAATAATGACAAATCCAGTCTTCTTTCCAACGTTAGAAGCCCATTTAATTAATGCTTCACAACTACTAAAAATTTAAAGATAATAAATACATTTATATGTCAAATTCTTGATAAAACTCAATACAAATTAAAAATAAGAAAAAATTGTATTTATAAAAAAAACTTAACAAACGTTATCTGTAATAAATTCATGACTAGAGTCCACTAATATTGCAGTACTTGCATTATTGCAATGAGTATATGTATAATCCTTCCAGAAAAAAATAAAAAATATAAAAAAATGAAACTGAAAATACATAGTAATGAGAAGCTAAACAAATTTAAAAAATTCGATTTGGGGTTACCGAAAATGTATCTTTTATTCAGTAGTTGGTTACTAGACTTATATTTTTTGTTCGACAATATGATGCCGAACTATTTTATTTTGTTCTATTTCGAACCACTAAATGAAAGTTGAATACCAGTTCAGAAAAACGAAACAAAAATCTACCAAATAAATAAATAAAAAAACTCACAATTTCACTTTTTTGATAGTTCTTCATCGCTGTTTCTTCATCCATTGCTTTCTTTAATGATCAAAATATTATGATTCTCACTTTTTGAAAAGAGATGTGCAAGAGAAAAGAAAAATTAAGAAAGGAAAAAGAGGAGTAGGGATTGAAGACTAAAGAATATAAGGAGATAAAAAAATATATTTAATTTTAGTATTTTGTCCTTAAAAGTAATTTCACAAAAAAAAAAAAAAACTCATATGGAGGATGTAAAGAGGTAAAGTAGTGGTGTAAGTAGAATCACTCTTTTTTTACCTCATATTTTAACTAAAAAGTTAAAAAATTATTAAAATAACCTAGGAGGGCTAAGGGGTACTTAGAAAAAAAAGAGGCACTAAAAAATCATAATTTTTATTTTTATTTTTTATAAAACACTCACACGTGAATCTCACGTAATTTTCTGAATAAAATCCTGTGTGCATCTAAGTATTTTTGTTAGGGAGATTTACCGGTTATAACCGGTTAGCATAATTTTGTATACAATGATTCAGATTATTTAGTATGACCAAATCTAATGTGCCGAAATCCCTAATCTCTCTCCCCAAAAGACACAACAGAGTTTAAACCGGAAGTTTCCGTCAAAGGTACTGAATGGCGGATTCAATTCAATTCGTTTTCCGCGAATCTCACTTCCCAATCTGATTGTTTCACTATTGCATTGCTTGATTGTTTCTCTCTTCAGCTACGTCCACTCACTAGTTTTTTTTTTTTTTTGGTTGTTGTTGAAGTATTTGGACTCATCACGAAACTGGTATACTAAATCCCTCAATATTTTCAAGTTAAATTCAGCTTTGATTCATTCAATTTTGTGGTATACTTGAAATTTACGGTTGCATTCGCAAGATTCAATCAGTTTTACCTTGTGATTGATGCTGATTTTTGCTTGATTTGTATGCTATATATCTATGGAGAGAGCTTTTTGTAATTCCAGTACATTAAACAACTACTTTACTTGTTTTTAGGTGTTGAAGGAAGTTTTGGCTTCTCCTGCATTTACTTTGTGTGATATATTTCTGTAGTTACCATGGAAGAAGAGTACGCACCATTCTTATACCAATTTCTCCATTAGAATTTCAATGCCCAGAAAAAAAAGAAAAAAGAAAAGGGTTTAATTGACATTCTTCTGATTTCCTGTAAATATAGGGACAATGCGGTTGAGCTTCTACAAAGATATCGGCGGGATAGGCGTATACTTCTTGATTTTATACTTTCTGGTAGCTTAATTAAGAAAGTAGTAATGCCCCCCGGCGCGGTTTCATTGGATGATGTGGATCTAGATCAAGTCAGTGTTGAATATGTACTTGGTTGTGTGAAGAAAGGTTGGTATTGTGAACACAACACCTTGTTTTCTGTGTTTTTGACTTTCTATATTTTTTTGTTTTGAAGGAATTTTTTCTTCTAATGAGTTTTTCTTAATGCAGGAGGGATGCTTGAACTGTCAGAAGCTATTAGAGATTACCATGACAGTACTCTTTTCCCACATATGATAGTAAGCTGGAAAATGCTGTTCATTTCCTCTCGTATTCACTTATTTGTTGTTATGCATTTCTAGAATTTGCAAGCTGATAAAATTTTAATACTTGCTTAATTTAAATTTATTTGAAATAAGTTATTAGTAGGTTTTATTTTATTATATATATATATCTATATATTATTTACATTTGAATCTGCTTGCAGTTTAGAATTTCTGGTTTTAAATTATTTTCCATAAAATGGAGCATCGTAAACTATTTACTTTTGTTTCTGGAACTTAACTTTGTATGATTTTTTTTCCCCCAGAATAATATGGGTTCTACAGATGAGTTTTTTTTGGTCACAAATTCCGAATCTTCAGGCTCACCACCAAAACGGGCTCCGCCATCTGCTCCTTTGTTTACACCATCCCCCATTATGCCAAGTCTTTTAAAATCACAATCTCTTAGCTCCACACATGTGGAAGAGTCTCTTGACTCCATGCATGTTGAAGAGTCTCTTAACTCCACACAAGTGCAAGAACTATCAGTTGATGACATTGATGATTTTGAGGATGATGATGATTTAGAAGAAGTTGACAGCCGTAGGACTTCAAGACGAATTCCAAATGATGCCTCTGATCTTGCATTAGGATTGCCTTCATTTGCAACAGGTAAAATGGCCATGAATGTTTATTCTGATATCAAAATGATCATGAATGTTTATTCTCACTTCAAGGCATTAGGATTGCATTCATTGACTTCAAGACTAATGCCAAACTTATGTCATTCTGATGTCATGCTGTGGTCTTTTGAAAGTGATGGCAATATGTTTATTCTTCTTTCTGTAGTTACAGTTGATAATTAGGTTACATCTACATCTGTTTGTCTCAAAGGGAGGCAGTATGAACTTGGTAAATAGGTTGCATCACTTTCTCTGGAAAGAAGTATGATGCAGAAACTCCAGTTCATAGATACATGAAACTTTTGATGATTCAATGACCAAGTGAACTCTACTGATTTTTCCCATGAGTGGACTTCTATGCTTAAAGCTCACACATGCTACACATGGATTATGCATGTATAAATTTGGATTATATGCATTCCTTGCACTTGTATGATATACCTTAACTATGTCTATTAAATAGAATCCAAACCAGTCCAGATGTTTGAAGTTCTCTAATCTGGTCATTTTCTTATACATTTCCTATTATTATTGATGGGGTTCTTGTGATACCGTACTGATGTGTGATGGCACTGTGATTACGATCCTTGTCAGTGAGACGTAGAATTGTCGTGATATGGCAACTCGAGTTTTTCTGTTAGAGAGCCTTTGCTGTACTTCTTGGTAAGGGGAACGAGTATATAAAAAGTCTATCAAGTACAATGATCAAGGGGGCATACCTCCTTGTACAATGTAAGATCAAGACAAAAGATATGGCTGTACAAAGAGATCTACATACGTACAATGTGATAAGTGATTGATCTTTAGGCTGAGTTCAGTAATTGACTTCCTGAAGCCGAGAAGAGCTTTTCGTATCACCATTGCTGATCCCTTCAAGAAGTTGTAGAGGGAGCCTTGTTGATGCTAGTATGCTACCATGAGAGAATGATGCACTTTACAAAGTTGTGATAGAAAGAGAGTGAGTGGCTTGAGGAGGGAGCGCGGGGTAACGCATAAGAAATTGCTGTAGGAGGTGACAATAACAAGTATTTAATCCAGAGACTGGTTTTTAGGCCTTCGACTTAGGATAGCATGGACTACTTTTAGGCCATATATTTCAAGTACTAGGACCATCTCACAATCTCTGGCTCGGGTTTAGAAGATTGGAATGTCATCTTATAATTAATATGGACAATGTAGTCTTAGTGTAATCAATGCAATCTTAGAGTGAGAAATGTGATATAGGTATGTGATATGGACAATTTCGGTTTAACGCGAGCAACACAAGGCAAGTGATGTGATGTCAACATGCAATATAAATAACAGTCTATGTACACGCTATTGACAATGTGTTATCAGTGTGCAAGATAAGAGGATATGCCCATGGACCATGTAGTATCGAGCAGGCAACATGGCCTTGATATGAAAGATAAGTAATGTAGTCTTACTATGGAAAGGGGTATTATAAGGAGGAAGCAAGATGCTAGCTCAAAATCTAACACGTATCCTTTAGTTGTCGAATTGTTGTTGTACCCAAACATGGTACAAAACATTGAAGGATCAAAGTAAAAGTACTATTGCTTCATTAAGAGTTTCACCCCTAGCCTTAGCTAGGAGTCTTAGCATGACATTATGGTATCAAACAACTCACAAAATAAGAAGAGATAATGGATGATAATCCCCTCTTCTTTGTGCTCATCTCTCTTATATATATAAGAGCCTCCAAAGATGAAAAAGTGGAAAGCCGAAGATGTCAATTTCTGGATTCCATAGCTGATCTAACTTCAGCTCAGTTTGGACCAAGAAATAAGCTGTGTCACGAAATATTTATTAGACACAAAGTTGTACATCATTGAATTATCTTTCCAATGCAGCAAATCTCACACAATTTGAAATTGAGTAAAAAGTTATGTCTGAAATACCATGACTTACTCAATTTGCCAAATCAGAACTTTTCCCAACATTGATATAATTGATTCTCCTGTTGCCTTTGACTACCATGTTTCCTTTACATGGAAAAGTCCAAACATCTTTTGCATTTCCCAGGCTTTGATGTTTCTTCAGTAAATGACCAACTAGAATGGAGAAAAATTGTGCAAAGAAAGTCCCAAAATGTGGAAAGAGATTTTGTGGCTGCATATTTGTTGCAACTCTAATGTTGTTTTTGACTGTCAAGATGACAAATTACGAAATCTTTATGATAGAGTGATTTGTAGCCATTGAAGTCTTGTTTCCATAGCCACCAAGATCACCTTAATCCAATGTCTGAATCAAAAGATATGGCCAAAATACTGAGGCTGTGCAAACTTGATTACAGCAGATTTATTTTTTTACATTTACTTAAAATTCAATGGCTTTATTCCAATGAGATTCTAGGAGTGATGCCTTGACTTTTATTTGTCTCTCTTCTTTTTCTCTACAAGTTTCTATGATTTTAAGCCTTTAAAAACCTAGCACCTGCTTGGAACTACTTTTCTTTCTTCACATTCCATTGGTCTAGCCTCAACTAAGCCTCATCTAATTATACATCCGTAGCACATCAAGAACACAAAATCTGCAAAGTTACTGTTCTAGGGTACAACACCCAAACAGTTCCTAATTAGGGTAACAAATCCCATATTTCAAGCATAACCAAACAATAAACAGTTTTTTCGTTTTTATGGTAACCGAACAAAAACATATTTTTCTAGAAATGCTTATTTATTTATTTTCTGATTTTCCTAGTCCAATCAAACAGAAGCAAGGAATTTAGCTCCTCATTTCATTTTTTTCTCTTTCAATTTTCTTTACCTTAACAAATTCAAGAACAAAACAAACCGTAAGGGCCTTCTGACAGAAGGTTTTGGACATCTAATATCATGTGTGGTTCTAGAATGATGATGAGGTGAGCTGGTCATAGTTATTTAAACTTCTATCTTTACTTTTTCAGGTGTCAGTGATGATGATCTTCGTGAAACTGCATATGAAATCCTCTTGGCTGGTGCAGGGGCTGCAGGGTATGGTACCCCTAATCTGGTTTGGTTTGCAGATATGCTTCAATGCTAGTTTAACAATTTATTTTTGTTTTCCTTTTTGTGTGCCACATTTTTTTTTTTTTTTTTGTTTCTCTCGTTCCTCTCCTTCTCAGAAGCTTTAAGTTATTGTCATATTCTTTCTTGTGGTGCCACATTGTTTTATTTTTCACATTATGCAATGTGATCTTTGTATAAACAGGGGCCTTATCATACCAACAAAAGAAAAAAAGAAAGAAAAAAGGTCTAGATTTATGAGGAAGCTTGGACGCAGTAAGACTGAAAATGTTGTGTACCAGTCCCAGAACGCAACGGGATTAGTTGGTTTGTTGGAAACAATGCGAGTCCAGATGGAGGTACACAAATAACTTGTTCTCTTGAGCATTTTCTTGTTTGATTATTTATTTGGCTTACTTTCTTCATACTACGTACATATGCTCTACATGTTTTGGTATACCTCTTTGCTTTTGAATTTGTATGTTATTAGGTGCGTTATGATTTGTAAAATGCCTAAACAGTGATAAATAAGTCGAAATCTAAAAATATATAAAAAAATGTTGTGATCGTCATAATGAGTTATAAGCAGAAGTTGCACCAAACATTCTAACACAAACTCTCAAAATAAAAAAAGCTATCAGCAACATATATAAGCTGCACAAAATAGCCTCAATATGTTTAATCTTCTATGTACACTATATTGCAAAATATTACTACAAAGCTACTGTTATCCCCTACTGCGGTTACTTATTTATTTACTTATTTCTTTGGCCTTCTCTTGATGAGTACAATACAATCACTCTATCTGGACAAGGTAACCCAAATTTGGATTTAAGGCTCTATGGAAAGTGTCAAAATAAGGGCGAATTACACTAACAGTCCCTATAGTTTAGGGCTCGTGTCACTTTGGTCCCTGACTTTTCAATTGTGATACATTTTGACCGTGGATTTTGAATCTTGTTCCAAATAAGGATAATTACAGATACCATTGCCTAATTTCAAGGGTAAAATCGTCAATTTGCTAAAATATAAACTAATTTGATAAAAATAAATGTCAAAAAAATATTTTTGAATTTTTAATAATTATTTGTACCCACCAAAGATAAAATTATGTAAAATTGATTAATCTTTTATACATTTATTTATTTATTTTTTTACCAAATTAATTTTTATTATGTGTTTGGATGATGATCATGTAATAGGTGATTGTTTTTATTTTCATTAAATTAGTTTTTATTTTTTCAAAAGTCAAATATGGCGACAACTTTGATATTATTATTAAACCAATCCATTAAATTAAAAAATCCAAAACTAAAATCATTTCATATATTAAATATATTGATTACACATTAAAATCTTAACAACCACCCATTATATGATCATCATCCAAACACATAATAAAAATTAATTTGGTAAAAAAATAAATAAATAAATGTATAAAAGATTAATCAATTTTACATAATTTTATCTTTGGTGGGTACAAATAATTATTAAAAATTCAAAAATATTTTTTTGACATTTATTTTTGTCAAATTAGTTTATATTTTATCAAATTGACAACTTTGTCCTTGAAATTGAGCAATGATATCTTCAATTGTCCTTATTTGGAACAAAATTCAAAATTCAGGGTCAAATGTGTCACAATTGAAAAGTCAGGATCAAAGTGACACGAGCCCCAAACTATAGGGGTTGTTAGTGTAATTCGCCCTTAAAATAATAAGAAATTTAAGAGTAAAAGAGAGAAGAAAATAAGAGAGAGAGAATGATTTGGAGAGAAGAGGCACTAAACCAAAAATTAGGTTTTTCCTCTCTACTCATATCTATTTATAATAATAAGCAAATAAGGGAACAAGTACAAAACTACCCTTCACCTAACTTAACACGCCCCCTCAAGTTGGTGTATAGATATCTCTTATGTCCAACTTGCACATAATATGATAAAAAACCTTACTGCCCAGCCCTTTAGTAAAAACATCGGCTAATTGATCTTTTGATTTCACAAAAGGCATACAAATTATGCCACTATTTGTTTTCTCCTTGATAAAATGCCTGTCAATCTCGATGTGCTTAGTCCTATCATGTTGAATTGGATTAGGGACAATGTTAATAGTAGCCTTATTATCACAATACAATCTCATTGGTTCACCACTTAACAATCCTAAGTCAGCCAATAAAACTTGAAGCCACATAAGCTCACAAATGCTATTCGCCATGACCCTATTCTGCTTCCACACTCGACCTTGCTACAACTGCTTGCTTCTTACTTCGCTAAGTCACCAAATTCCCTCCTACAAAAGTACGGTAACCTGAAGTAGACCTCCCAATCTGCATTAGTGAAGGCCTCCCATCTCAAATGACAATGATTGGAGAACAAGATTCCTTTTCCAGGTGCTGATTTGAGGTATCTCAAGATCTGATTAATAGCATTCAAATGCCCTATTCGAGGTCATGCATGAATTGGCTTACAACACCAACTGCATATGCAATATCTGGCTTAGTATGAGAAATATATGTTAATCTCCCTACAAGCCTCTGGTATCTTCCCTTATCTACATGAACTCTATCACTACTGCTAAGTCTGTAATTGGCTTCAATAGGGGAATCTGCGAGTCTACATCTAGGCATGCCTACTTCCTCAAATAGATCTAAGATGTACTTTCTTTGGGAGATAAAGATGCCCTTATCTGATCTAGCAATCTCAATCCGAAGGAAGTATCGTAAAGGACCAAGGATAAGGGCATCTTGGGCATTTTCTATACATCATTAACAGACACCACTATGTCATCCACATAAACAACAATTATAGAAATTTTATCTCCACACCGTTTGATGAATATAGTGTGATTAGCATGACTTTGCTTGTATCCAAATCTTAGCACCGCCTTAAGAAACCTGTCAAACCAAGCTCTAGGAGACTGTTTTAACCTATACAATGCCTTATTTAACCAACGGACCTTCTCATCAGTAGTTAGAGAAGAAAAACCTAGAGGAACATTCTTATACACTTCTTCCAGATCACCGTGGAGAAATGCATTCTTCACATTCAGTTGTTGCAATGGCCATTCCAGATTTGCTGCACACGAAAGGAGGACACGAATAGAATTCATCTTAGCCATTGGAGCAAAGGTCTCCTGATAGCCAATGCCATAAGTCCGAATGAACCCTTTAGCAACTAGTCTTGCTTTATATCTCTCAATAGTCCCAACAACTCTTTGCTTAACTGAGAACACCCATTTGCAACCTACAAGTCTTTTTCCTGATAGTAGATAAACTAGCTCTCAAGTGCCATTCTTACTCAAAGCACTCATTTCCTCTGCCATAGCTTCTTTTCACCTAGGATCATCGAGTGCTTCCTTCCAACCTTAGGAAATAGAAATATAGGACAAAGACAAAACAAAGGCATGATATGATGGAGATAAGTAATCATATTACAAAATTTAGAAATAGGACGTTGAGTATAAGTTCTAATCCCTTTCTTGATAGCAATAGGGCGATTTGAATCATTAACTTGATGAACATTATCAACACGAATAGTAGGGATAGTAATCAAAGACTCATTACTTGAAGACTCCATAAAAGAATTAGTCACTGGAGCTAGAGATGGTGATTGGCATGGCGGCATATAGGTCAATTGTTCTCTTCGTCACCGAGAGTAGGTTTTGAGATTTGGCCTTAAGATTTGGCTTATCCAACCTACTAGGCTCCCTTTGAACACACTTATTAATATCCTCCTCACAATAAGTCTCCTCCTCCCCCTCTCAAACAAATGGTAGGGGAAAACAATGAATTAGAAGAAACAATCTCTTCCGTAGTAGAAACCTTCCCTTGAAGAGATTGACCTTGAAAGAAGGGCACGGGTTCATAGAAGGTAATATCCATAGTAACATAAGCTTTACGAGAGTGAGGATCATGACACTTGTAGTCTTTTTGGGTGGAGGTATAACCAAGGAATATACACCGCAGAGTCTTAGGGTCCAATTTGCTCTGAGTGGAACAAGGAGAATGAACAAAGCAAACACAACAAAACACCTTAGGAGAAAGAGAGATAGGAGGAACAAAAATGTGGGGTAGAAGGTCAAGAGGGCGTTGAAACTGGAGTACACTAGAAGGGGGCATGCGGTTAATAAGATATGTAGTAGTTAGAACAGCATCACCCCAGAACGGTTTAGGAACCCGCACTGTGAACATAAGAGCACGAGCAACCTCAAGAAGATGATAATTTTTGCATTCGACAATCTCATTTTGTTCAGGGGTACCAACACAAATGGTTTGGTAAAGAATACCATGTGCTTAAAGATATGCGCAAAACTTTCCATCAATATATTCAGTGCCATTATCACTCCGAAGCACTTTAATTGGGGTGGCAAGCTTATTAAACACCATCTTATAAAATGTTTGAAAACAAGAAAAAAATTTCACTTTTGGAGTGGATACATCAGAATGAATAACTATAAACAGAAACATACTTCTTTTATCAACGGGAAGATGACAAGAACGTTTATGTTTTGCGAACTCACAAGCGTCATAATGAACATTATTCTTATGACAATTCTTCACTAAAGTAGGAACAAGTTTGTCTAAAACAAAAAAAGAGATATGCCCTAAATGCCTATGCCATTGATGTAAAAGAGAAAGTGAGGAATGGCTAATTTTCGGAGAGCTTGGGTGGAAGACATTGTGGAAGAAGATGAGGAAGATCCAGCATCCAGAAAATGTAGGTCCCATGTACCACTACCAATCGTTCTCCCTGTACTCAGTTCCTAAAAAACACAATGAGAAGAATAAAATGTTACGGAGCAATTTAAGGAATTGGTAAGACAACTAATAGACAAGAAATTAGTAGAGAACTGGGGAACATGAAGAACAGATGAGAGGGAAATAGGGGGGGAACAATGAATAGAGCCTGTCCTAGCCATAGAGGATAAGGACCCATAAAAAACTCTTACTTTATCCTTGCCTGAATAAGGAGAGTAAGAGTGTAAAAGATTGGACAAACCTGTTTTATGATCGGTAGCATCAGAATCAATAATCAAAGGACATGAAGGGACATCACTCATGGCACTCGTAGGAATACCTGTGGAAGCAAAGTGGGAAGAAGGAGGATCAGAAGTAGTGGCAGGAGAAGAATCAAGTTGAGCCACTAGACACCGAATAGTGTGCAACTCATCCTAGGAAAAAACTGTAGCAGAATCACCCGAAGTGCTTGCAAGGGACTCCAAGAGATGAGCATGAACAAATAGTACCGCCACAACTAGTCGGAGCACCACGACCACCACCTTGCCCGAGGGTAGGATGATTGTGTAACTTCCAACAATGTTCCTAATCATTCCGTTCTTTCCCTCAATAATCACAAATAATC